GGAATGCGGACAACCGGGCGGGGGGCACGCGCGCGCTGGGGCGGCAGGTAGCAATGTCGTGCGCGGCACGCCGAATGGGCGACACGCACGCGAGAAGGACGGAGCCCTAGTCCTCGAGGACTAGGGGATGGGCGAGGGCGGCAACCGACCTAAGGCATGCGTGCGCGGAAGTATGAGAGAGAGAGAGAGAGTTGCTTGGAGTGCACACCAAGAGATCTAGTTTCCTTCTAGTATTATATTTTCTAGCTTGTTTAGGATTTCTAATATTTTATTGCTTTATTAGTTCCCTAGGTAGATTAGGCTTAGATCAATTTGGTGCCTATATAAAGGACCATCCCCTCATGTTATTTTCATCATCCAAGAATTAATAAGAACTCAAGAACTTTTGTTCATCCTCTTTGCTTTAGTTTTTCATCAAAATTCTATAGCAATTATATCGTTTATAGGGGTGCGGTTTGTGAACCTCTAGGCAACTATCGGCGATTCAAGGCACTGGTTTGTGGCTTATCGGCAGTCGAAACACACGATCCTCATCATTGGTGCTTTCATTGAGAGGTGTTGATCGTGTGTTTTTCTTCTACCCCTTTCCCTTTCTTTTTCTTTTCGATTTTTCTTCGTTCCCCTATCAAAAAAAAAAATCTTCAAACACGAGTCCTCGAAGCAAGGAACGCAAGCAAGAGAAGAAAGCCATGGCCAACAAAGAGATAAAGGACAAGAATCTCGATGTCCAATTTCGCAGTATGAGTGAAGCTATTGAAACGTTAGGTGAAGGACTCGGCCATACCAAGTCAACGGTGCAAGATTTAATGGAAACCATGAACCGGCGATTTGATGAGATGGCGTGCACGGTTCTCGCTCGCCTGCCACCGCCGCGGCAACGCGATCAGGCGCGACAGCACGAACGCGAGCGGCCCGAAGAAGAGGATCGGCGGCGCGAGGGGCATGAGCGAGAGGACGACCTCGATCGGCAGTCCCAGGCATCCACATACCGCGATCGGCGTGCACCAGATAAACCACGCATCACGTTGTCCACATTCACAGGCAGTGATCCGGACGCATGGCTCAATAGAGCGACGCAATATTTTGAGCTCAATGAAACCGATGGTACAGATTGCGTCAGGTATGCCGCTTATTATCTCGATGGTGAGGCCAATGTATGGTGGCAATGGCTCACAAGGATTTATCACAAGCGACAGCAAATTATCATATGGGATGTTTTTGAAAGAGAGTTGCTTACACGGTTCGGTACGTCTGATTATCATAACTACAATGAAGCTCTTACGCGCATACGGCAAACGGGCAGTCTACGCGAATACATCAGGGAGTTCGAACGATTAGCTTGCCGCGTGCGCGACTGGCCGGAAGATGCATTAGTCAGTGCGTTTATAGGCGGGTTGAAATTTGATTTGGCTGCTGAGGTTCGGCTCGAGAGGCCCGACACCATGCATGACGCGATGGAAGTGGCCCGACGACGAGAAGATCACTTGGTTGCAACACGAAGGGGACGGGCGGACACCCGGATTCCCGATACACGTCGCGCGGGTCCAAGCCAATTACCCGCGAGCGCGCGGCCTGCTTTCAATACACGGCCAGCAGGGTCATTAGTCCGACAACTGTCGCCAGAAGAAGTCAAGCGACAACGTGAGAAGGGTCTTTGTTTTAAGTGCGAGGAGAAGTTTACCCTGGGGCATCAGTGCAAGCAAGCCTTTGTAATTGAGGTGGCCAACCCGGACGACAAGGAGGTTGAGGTCGAGGAGGAACCGCCTCAGGAGGACGAGATCGAGGCCTTCAGTGAGGAGCCCGAAATTTCGATGCATGCAATGGCAGGA